TGGACAGAGCCTTTATACCCCAGCTTCAGCCAGTCATTCAATGCATGCTGTCCCCAGGAAGGAGGGTGAGACCTTGGGTGAGGAAGTTCTCTTCACTTGGGGGCAATTCCTGAAGAGGGCTGTTAGTCAGCAACACTCCCACCAACTAGGGGCAGAAGCCCTTCAGTCATGAAGGTAGACCTGGATGGTTTATCACGGTGTCCACTACTCTTTGCTACACAGTCACATCTTTGTATAAGTTCTGGATGGTTTATCACGGTGTCCACTACTCTTTGCTACACAGTCACATCTTTGTATAAGTTCTGGGAGCAGCTCTGCTTTTCCTGGAGGACAGTGATGGTTAATGGGATGAACCACAGTCCCAACCACTGCAGCTGGTCTTGAGGCCCCCAAACGATAATCATCGTCTCCCTCCTCTACTACCCACTTTAGATTCTTCTCATCCTCGGGAAGCACATCTGCTGAGCCCTGGTCACCATGCCATTTTCAAGCCATGGCTGCTGTACTTGCCTACTTACCATTAAAACTGAGCAAGGGTGTAACAGAAACCCAACTGGATCGTCTGGGTGCCAAACATCTTTTTCGCTCCATTGTGTAACCGCAGCCCTGGCTCTTCCTGATGAGCAGGGTCAATTGCTCCTGCCAGGATGGTGCCTCCTGCTTCTTGCCTGCTGGTCCTTTGGCATGAGGAGCTCAAAGTGTTTGGTGGCAAGTGTAAATTAAAGTTCAATAGGACTTTTACTCTTATCCTCTGATATATTTCTCTTTTGGGAACCAGGGCCTCAAAACCCTCAAAGCTGAGTTGTGGTGACAGAAATACCCCCAGTGGGATCATTGGGATTAATGGTAAGAGGAGCCACTCCTACTTCCATCCCTCGGTCCCTGGACCTACCCATTCTTCTTATTGGGACATAGCACCATACTGATTGCTGATAGAGTGATGGTGCCCCACCCTTGGATGGTAGCATTTCTGTGCTGGCATCTCAGCTGTGCCTTCACAGGCCATTCCTTCTCTCTGTTCAGATTGGCATCTTCTGGATAGTACAGAATGAGATAGGACCAGTGGATCACATGGTCATGTCCCACTGTCATGACTCCTTTGGTCTGATGTGACGTTATGTGGGATCTGCCAATGGGTCATTCAGTAAACAGTCAAGATAGTGGTGTTGGCTTCAGACCTATAGGCAGAAAAGGCAAACCATATCCAGAATGTGACAAATGCAGTCAAAATAAATTGCTGCCATTTCCAGGATGGAACGTATCCAATGTAGCCATCTTGTCATCAAGTGGCTGGTTGCTCTCCAAGAGGGAGACTGCCATTTGTGGGGCTCAGCACTGAATTTGTTGCTGGCAGGTTGGGCAATCAGCAGTGGCAGTATCTCTGTCAGCCTTTGTGAATGGAGGCCATGCTCTGGGGTCCATGCATGGCTCCCATCCCTGCCACCATGGCTACTCCATTCGTGTGGCCACTGTACTAGTGAGGTGGCCAATAGCATCTGGCTGACATTAATTGGCACGTTCAGTGCCTCTTTCATGTAGAGGCTCTGGTGAGCACACTTCTTGCCCACCCACAAAGTCCATCCCCGAGCCTCTATCCCACCCAGACCTTGTCTATGATCTTCAACTCTTTTCTCCTCCCAGGATCTGATCAACCAGCCAAGCCAACAGCTAGTGCCATGAGTCCACATATATTCTAAACTTGGCTACATTTCTGTCCACACCAAGTCAACGACCAGGTGCACCACTGAATTTATCCCTTGGGAGAACTTCCCTTGCCACTGTCTTTCAAGATCACCCCAGAGTGGAGCTATAGTGCAGCCATCACTCATTTTTGGCTTGCACCCACATACCATTCTGACATATCAGTGAATCAAGCTTTGCTCCTTTCCCTCCTTGGTCAACTGGTCATAAAGGGACCCCATGTGTTATGCAGTCATGTGTGTGAGCTGAGGGGAAGGCGTTGGTGCAAAATGGTAGGTGACATGTTGTATGTCTAGGACATCTGCTTGTGTAGCTTGCCTGTGCCCCTGGCCCCAATTCTGGATGTACCACTTCTGTCTTACTATGGGCTATTTGGGGGCTTATTCAACTTTATGTTTTGGTGATCTAATAGGCAGAACCTAATTTACATAGGACGAGCTCATGATGAAGTATTTTGGATCAACTTAAAAATATACAAAGGGAATTAAGTTTTTCAATATTGTTCTGGAATACACAAGCAAATCTGTTGATAATGGATTGGCAAGTTAGTATAGAGAGTACTGGTAGGGTCTGAACAAAAACGTGGTATAGAAGATGGTATAGAAAATGGTATTGATTTTTAAAATTCTGAAGAGGAAGAAGTGATAGGTAGGTGTAGAAATGGAGACAGCAAGCACATTTATGCTATCCTTTTAAAAACAAAATCATAGCTGTGAAAGGAAGAATTGGGTTGTACCTGCAAAGAAGAGTTAAAGCCTCATTTTTTTCAAAGCTTTTTGAAGACGGGCTTGATTGTTTATACACTGAGGGAAAGAAGCAGCAGAGATGGAGAAAAATTGAGGGATTAGATGGGCTCAGCTGGAGTTCTGAGAGTTCATTTTGATAAAATAAAAACAGAAACAAAACAAAAAGACCAAGCAGAAGTACCAAACTCCTTTTAATCAAGGGAAGCAGGACAGTAGGAAAGTTCAACTTTTCTGCCAACTGGCCCCTCCCACCATCTTTACCATCATTGAGAAAAACCCGGCTCAACAAAGCATCAAATACAATTTTCTGTTCTATACCCATTTCTCCTTACCCGGGTTCAAGGGAAAACAAACATCAATACCAATCCCCAGAGTAAAATCAGACAGTCTGGATAGGATTAATATAGATTTCAGCTCCCAGTAAAGTATGATTTTCTTTTTGGAAAAACATTTTATTAAGAACATCTAAAATTGCTCCACTAGCTCCAGTAAGAGTAACATTTCTAATGCATTGCCTCGGAATGAGCACAGCCCCTTTCACATCAAGACGTCCTACAATACTTTGCTTGTCAATAAGGTACTTAATAGGAGAAAAGGAAACAACTTAGCGTACGGTTTTCCTATTGGACACCCACCAGCTTCATTTCTGAGGTTGGGGACAGAGGAGTCATTGCATGGCCCTTCGAGATCATTTAGCCAGGCTGCTCGTGGGTGCAGCAGAGTAGGTTTTAGGAATGCTGGTCACCTCCTCACGCTGGTACCTTTGGGTCACAGGGAAACGGGCAGCTACTCCCCGGCCTGGGGCCTATGCAAGGAACTCCACGGGGCTACCGCATCCCCAGACTTAGATGGACCACCCGCCCATGTGGCTCTCCAGAAAGTGTCCTGGGCTCTACGGATGTCCTCCCTGGTCCGCAAAGATTAGACGAGCGCGCAGACTCCGGCCCAGGGGCCATCTAGGCGTCCCGGGTACTAGGAGGGGTTCGGGGACAGCCAAAGGGGAAGCCGAGGACGGTGTGAGGGCAGCTGCCGCCGGGTCTCAGCAGGGTCTCCATTCGCCTTAAGGCTTCTACACTGTCCCAACTACCTGGACACCTCCCCCAGCGCCCACGCAGAGGCAATGCCAAGGCCCCATCCCACCCTAGGCTCAATTTCGCGAACGGGGCTACGCAGCACTCCGCAGGACTCCTGCCGCACCCCTTCCTCCGCGGGGCTGGGTCGAGCGGCCGGAAGATGGCGGCGGGGGCGGGGCCCGACGGTCACTCACGAGGCGCCCTTGACTAGCTCCGGCCGCCGCGCCACCTACCTTGCTAGAGTGGGGCCCGGGCGCGTGCGCGGAGGGACGGTGACGAGCACTTGGCGTGGCCAATCAGCGGCGAGGAGTCCCGGCCGGCGCCCAACCAGGGTCCCGGCGGCGGCGAAGCGAGTAGGTTGTAGGTGGGCAGCGTGTGTGGCGGACGCCTAGTGCCCGGGAGCAAGCCGCCGGCCTCGCTGCTTCCCGCGCGCCCAGCACCGCGGCCCCTGTAGCCGACGTGAGGACACTGCAGAGGCTGGTGCCCGCCGCCCCGCCAGGCTCGCGATCCGTCCCACGAACGCCTCCTGCAGCAGTCGCAGGCCACCTCCTCCAAGGGGACCGCTCCTCACCAGCTGCTGCAGAGACACATGACGGGCTCGGCGCTGACCAACTAGAAGAGTCGGCGGAGCCCTCGGAGATCTCCCGGACTCGTTCCCCTGCCCAGGGCGCGCGACGGGGAGCATGTTCCCGCGGAGGCTGGCGG